GAGATCAGTTCCTTTTCGCCGTAAGTTGGAATCCACCTACATAAGCACCTACGTCACTCACATGGAGCACATACACAGCAGTAATGAAGTGAAACAGTAAAAAAAATATTAAAAGAAAGATAACAATTCCTGACCTTTACTTGTGGTAAATAATAAAAAACATAAAACCCATATGTACTACATCGAAATGACGCAACTTTTTTTTTTTTTTAAAAAAAAATGGGAGATGGCGACGTAACCACAAAACAACCTACGTTGAGTCCAAGGTAACCCGAGGACTGTCTGTATTCATATGAGTCATTATGGGAAGTAGGATCTAATCTAAAAAGATAACTGACAAGGAATGTCCCAATGGAAAAGGCCATTATAGAAAAAATTTTATAGATCACATTTCAACATTCTTTTTCTTATTTGTCATAAGTTGAGGAAGCCAGAGATCTCTTTAAACTAATTGAGAGGGCCCAGAAGGTAATTAACTACTCTCTAATTAAGCTGGTAATAGCTGCCCTCTATTGGAGAGATCAAAAGCCAGAGAAACACTGCCTGCGAGGACTTTTGAAGATAGGCAGCTCTCAGTGATGACAGCCTTGAAGTTTTTGACCCTACAAAGTAGCACAGAGAGAGTTGGCTCTGTCTTCCAGGGTCCAAGAGAAAGAAAGGAAAGGTCTAGGTCAGTGGTCAGCAGACTGTGGCTCGGCAAACCGTGACTCACGAGCCCCTTGAATGTGGCTCTTCCACAAAATACAGGCTCTTCCACAAAATACCGACTTCTGCACATGGGCCACGAAGTTTCAAATGGGCCACGAAGTTTCAATCGCTCTGTACGTGCGCGCCCACACGTGGTATTTTGTGGAAGAGCCACACTCAAGGAGCTAAAGAGCTGCATGTGGCTTGCGAGCCACGGTTTGCTGACCACGGGTCTAGGTGGGTGGATAACAGTTAAGGGTTTGTGAGGAAAGTGTTCACTTGTATTTGGTCATTTGTATTTGTTTTATTTTTTTATTTTGAGAGTACTTTATTAAAGCTGGGGACAGTGAAACAAAGGAAGGGCTTAGGGTAGAAGGAGCAACAGGAGAGGCCCTAGGTCAGGTGTGGGGAACCTTTTTTCTGTCAAGAGCCATTTGGATATTTATAACATCATTCGCAGGCCATACACACAATTTTTAAGTTTATCAACTTAAAAATTAGCCTGCTTTATTTGGTCAAACATTTAATTAACTCACCCCTAATGCCTTGGCAGGGCCAGATCAAATGATTTCAAGGGCCTAATAGGGCCCAAAGGCTGGATGTTCCCCACCCCTGGCCTAGGTGGTGCTTTGCTTTGAGCTCTAGAAACGTTATACCAAAGAAGTGAGCCAAGGCGGGGCTGCTTTCAGCTTCCTAAAAAGTCAGAGAAAAGAGGGCCTTGGAGACAGATACAGGGCTTAGCCCTGGACAAGCTGCTACTGCCTGCTGCTCACCTGGTTGTAAGTCTTGTGGGGACCCTTAGAAAAGGTAACAATACATGCCTGGGAAAGAAAGGTGTGGGTGTGCTCTAGAGAGAGCCCAGTTTTAGAATCTTACTCTGAATCATGTCTTCTAAAATAAAAAGTCAGTACTAATTGTTTGGCCGTTTTATATAAAGGATTCCTGTCTATTGGAAAAGGACTGTTGCATGGGCAGGTGTACTCTACCTTGTCTGCTATGAATGGGAAACCAAGCAGTTGAAGCCTTTCCTATTCACACTATTTTGCTTAGCTAAACTGACCACTCCTTGTGTGTGTCCAAAATGCAATTGGCTTTTCTTATCATGGTACCTGCTACACTTGGGAAGCACTTGTCTTTTTCTTGGTCTACACCAGTACTGTCCAATAGTATGAGCTACATTTGTGATGTTAAGTTTTTTTTTAAATAGACACTTTCAAAAAGTAAAAAAGAACAGGTGGACTATCACTTTTTTTTTTTGAATCCTCACCCGAGAATATTTTTCTATTGAGTTTTAGGGAGAGTGGAAGAGAGAAAGGCAGAGAGAAACATTGATGTGAGAGAAACACATCAGTTGGTTGCCTCCTGCACGAGTTCTAACCAGGGCCCCGGGCCAGGGAGGATCTTGCAACCCAGGTACATGCCCTTGACCAGAATCCAACCCGGGACCCTTTGGTCTGCAGGCCGATGCTCTATCCACTGAGCCAAGCCGGCTAGGGCTAGACTATCACTTCAATATATAATTCATATATAAATATTAATGAGATGTTTTATAGTTTTTTTGGGGGGAGTACTAATTTCTTGAAATCCAGTGTGCAATTTACTCTTGTAACACATCACAACTTGGATTAGCCACATTTTGAGTGTTCAATAGCCATACATGGCTAGGGGCTTCTGTATTGAACAGTGTGGAGCTAGAGGATGAGCATCTCAAAGTCATCTAATCTATCTTTGTACCCACTATACTTTGTGCAGTGCCTGAAACATAACTGCTATTCTGTTAAGTAAATGTGATACGCAAATTTGTAAGATCACGTCTAATGATCCTTGCCTTTGTATAATCCCTTCCCCTTTGAGGGTGGGTGGATCATGTGAATATGAAGAGAGATCCGTCTATTGATTATGATACATTATGGCCAAAGGGAGAGTATCATGGATGGGCCTGCTCTAATCAGATGAGTCCTGTAAGAGCAGACTTTTCTCTGACAAGTAGCAAAGGAAGAAATCAGAGAGAATCATTCCTGCTGGTCTGGAAGAAAGCCCAAGGATGTGCAGCTCAGGGTGAAGAATAAAATTGTGCTCTCTTTGCACCTTAGGAGTCCAGCTTGCTCAATGAGGTCATTTAATTAGTATCACTGACATAATTTCAGTCTACAACTGGATCTCAACCTTCAAGCCATGGCAATATAGCATTTTTCTGGTAGACAGTCTCCTATTCCTGCAGAGTTATCTTAAGCCTTTCTACCTTCCTGATTCTTGAACTTCCCAGTGTTCCTTCCCTCTCAGATGATCTTGCCTCAGACTTGGCAGAAAAAGTAAAATCCATCAGATGAGAGGAAACTTTCTTCATTTCATCTGCATCACCAAATGGACCTTAGAACTATACTTAGCATGTTGTTAATTAACACATACACTAGAGGCCCGGTGCACGAATTCGTGCATGGATGGGGTCTGGTCGCCCATACCTGATTGGGGTGAGGGGCCAGTTGGGGGTGGGGCCGGCCATGGTGAGGAGCCGAGGGCAGTTGGCCAGCCAGGGGAGGGGCCATGGCTGGCTGGGGGGAGTTGTTAGTGACAAAGATCTTTGCAGGGTGTATACACGTTTGCTGTAGGCTTTCAGATGAGTTGAAGCTTCAAAGGTGCTTTAGTGTCAGGGACACTTACAGCTTCCATTTCTAAGCCTCTCCCTAGACAGGTAATGCGGTTTAGTTCCCTGCTGACAAACCCTATAAAGAGAGGCCATGGTGTGATGTGGCTGCCCTCTTTGGTAGTAAGCAGTGGAGAGAGAATGCAGGAAGATGGTGGCAGTGCTGGGCACCTGACTGATGGTCCAGACTGTAAGCAGTTTTCCTCCTGATCACTTGTCATTCAGGTTCCTGGTCTATGAAGGCTGGAGAGCATTTACTTACTTAGTCGCAGGTGGTTGGCTGGCCGGCCCCGCCCCTGATCGGGTCGATTGGCCGCCACAGTGCCTGTCATAGCCACCAGTCATTCTGGTCGTTCTACTGTCAGTCGCTTGGCTTTTATATATATAGATTGTAAGTATGTAAAGAATGGTTCCACTATTTGACAATAGTATATGCTTGTAGGCAGGTGGACTGGTTCCTTCATAATCTTATTTTCAATCTTGGTTTGCTTATTTCACTTTTATGTAATGTAAAAATAAACTTTTAACTCAGTTTGGAATTTGGAAATTTCTTCTGTTTATATTAAAATCAATGAGAGGCTCTAAAATCAAGTTTTAATTTATATGTATTGCATTCTGCAAAATATGTCGACAAGATTATCATTTGTATGATAAGTATTTCACAATATTTGAAATGGGGCATTTTATGCCTCTGTCATTACCCTCAGAGAGCTCTTCTAGTCTCATTTCTCTTGTTTTGTCTAATTACAATTTCATTTTAAAAGCAGTTGGGAGCATATATACCCTGAGCATTTAAAAATGTTACATTTAATGTATCTAATGAGCTTTTGATTCCAATATAACTAACAAAAATAATTGAAAAACTGAGTTGCTAATGGAAGCATGCTTCTCTATACAAGTAATTTACATTATCTAAAAGAAGTCTGAGTTCATTATAGAAAATTTGAAAATCACAGGAAAGTATAAAGACTAAAATAAAAACAGCCTTAATCACATTACTTCTTCAACACTCAATCTCGAGATCTACCAATCTTTTCTATTTTTCAAACATGATGTAAAAATGCAGGCACATTTTAAAATCCTGCTGTTTTCTCACTGAACATTGTAGTGAGGCCATCGTTTTCCTGTGCTATTTAACTCTTCAACAATGTAGTTTTGAAGATCAAATTGTATTCCATCATATTATAATGTTATAGTTTATTATATTGTAGTTCACATTGTACATAATATCCTAATATATAATCTGGTCCTATTATAATTTATTTAACAATTCCCAACATGCTTATTTTTAGAAATAGAAAAAACTAGTATACACTTGGCTTGAGGCAAGTATGCATGTATTTAGTTTTGGTATTTTCATCCCACCATCAATAACCTTAACTTAAATTTTTGCCAAATTGCAGACTTCATAGTCTGTAAACAATTGCAAACCTGTTTTAAATTCAGCAAAAATTAAAAGGCCACCAAACTGTTAGGTTTCTGAAATTACAGTCTTCCTGAGGCTTTTCTTTTTACTTCTTAATCCTTTGCTATCCACCTTTACTTCTTAATTGCTTGTTATCCACCCTTTCCCCCCTATTGAATTATTTGTAATCCTTCCTCTGTCTCTTTTCAATATGGAGTTTATTTTTATTGGAGCTTTTCTTTTTTCTTTTTTTATGTGCCTCAGGCATGAAACAGCTCTGGCCACCGACATAGCCATCAAGCCAGGATGAACTAAGTACTGTACATCTGCTTTGCCCCTGATTGATATAAGAGCAACACCACCAATCAGGTGTCTTCTTACCCATTGCCAGGGGGTGGAGCTTTTCTTCTAAATTTTAGGAAAAAATCAGATATTACACATAAAGCTTATAGGCCTTATGCTTGCCTACATAGCATACATTTACCTGCATATCAAGGGTGGAACCATTTAGTGAGAGATTGCTGTATACCAGGTTCACCACACTGATGGCCAGAATACTAGTTTTTAAATTTACCCAGTGAGCCATGGAGTTGTCATGTGGTCTGAAATGTTCCACTGTGACTAACACATTCTCTGACTGAAGATAGACCTTCAAGGAAAGCCAAGTCAGAAGCAGAAGTTTGCTTAATAAGAATGAAATCAGCCCTAACTGGTTTGGCTCAGTGGATAGAGCGTCGGCCTGCGGACTGAAGGGTCCCAGGTTCGATTCCAGTCAAGGGCATGTACCTTGGTTGCAGGCACATCCCTAGTGGGGGGTGTTCAGGAGGCAGCCAATCATGATTCTCTCTCATCGTTGATGTTTCTATCTCTCTCTCCCTCTCCCTTCCTCTCTGAAATCAATAAAAATATATTTAAAAAAAAAAAAAGAATGAAATCAGAGCAGGAATGTTGAGTGATAACAGGCTAAGGCAGCCTTATATATGTACTAGAGGCCTGGTGCATGAAATTCATGCACGGGGGGAGGGTCCCTCAGCCCAGCCTGCACACTCTCCAATCCGGGATCCCTCTCGCAATCCGGAACCACTGACTCCTAACCACTCACTTGCCTGCCTGCCTGATTCCCCTACAGCTCTCCCCTGCTGGCCTGATCCCCCTAATAACTGCTCTCTCCTGGCCTGATCCCCCTAACTGCCTATCTGCATTCCCCTCCTGGCCTGATTGCCCTAACTGCCTATCTGCTCTCCCCTCCTTGCCTAATTGCCCTAACTGCCTGTCTGTTCTCCCCTCCTTGCCTAATTGCCCTAACTGCCTATCTGCTCTCCCCTCCTGGCCTGATCCCCCTAACTGCCTATCTGCTCTCCCTTCCACTCCGTGCCCTTTGGACTCCCGGCGCAGGTGTGATGAGAGCTCTCCTCCTCAGCCCCGCCTTCATCCTGATTGGTCGTTACATGATGGTGTCACAGCCAGTTTGTATATTCCTCTGTTATTAGTATAGATTCTTATAATTAAGGCTAGATGTGGGGTTCAGGTTAGGCTGAGGGACAGAAATTGTGACTGAGAAATTCATCAAGCAAATGAGTGGCATCCGGAAGTGCCTGTGGTGTGACAGCCAGCTTGCCATCTTGTTAAATACCTCTGCCTTACTGTGTACGGTGCACCATTCTATTAGAAACTTCTGCATGGATAACTTGCTTCTTTCTTTACTCTCCTTCCTTCGGGTCATCCATCGATGGCTCCTGCTGTCCTCCTCCTCCTCCTATGTCTAATTGTTATTTCTCTGTCTTCTTTCCATCCTGACTCAGTTCTTGCATCTGTGGTATAACATGTTTATACAAATTCTGTCCTTGGGATAGTCACTAATGTGGCTCCTTCTGGCCACACTCCTCTCTGTCCAGAGGCATGGTTGGATGACATGTCCTGCTTTCCTTGTGCTTGCGGTTGGTAGGGCTAAATGGTGAGTTCTGGCCTTTGGATTATGAACAGGAACAACGCCTGTCACTTCTGGGCTAGTGCATTTAATTACTAGTATGAGACCCTTCTTTTCTCTGCTACAGAGACCAGCAATGCTCCAGGTGGGTGGTTGCTCAGTAGTCAAAGTGCCAGAGTGAGATGACACTGAACAGAATTCCCAGGCAACTCCGGACATAAATTGGATGAGAAAGAAACCTTTGATATATTAAGTCCCCGTGATTTATGGGTTGTTTGTTCTGCAGCATAATCTACCTCTATCCTGACTGAAACGGCCTTCTAATTTTTTTCAAACTCTTCACCTTGTCTCCTCATGAGTTTATCCAAGATTATAGCTGTAAGTTTATCTTCTAATCCAGTGATTTTCAAACTTTTTTTTTTAACCTCATGGCACACATAAACTAATCACAAATTCTGCAGAACGCCAAAAAATACATTTTTTGCCTATCTGATAAAAAATAAAAAGGTATAATTTTGATTGATTCACACTGGAGGGCTACTGTTGTGCCTCTGACTGAGTAGTCAGGTATTGTATGTTTTAAAAATTCTTGCAATACACCAGTTCACAATCGCTGCTCTAATTAAAGGAATTCCAAATCTATTTAAGTGAACTTAATTGATCCCCTGAGCTCAGTTTTCTGGTTTTCTTGTGACACTTTCAGTGCTCACAAGAACCTCAACCTGAATATCCTATGGGTATTTCAAATTCACCATGCTCTCTAAAAAACTTATCATCTTCTTTCCCTCAGTTGCCGATTGCTCCTCTCCTCTATTGCAAATTTCAGTTAATAACACTATCTTTCCAGATTCACACTGCATTTCAACCTTGGGAATGTGCCGATTCTCTCTCATGAGTTAAGTGGTGCCAGCCTTACCGGTGGAAGGCTCAATGGCAGAGACCAAGTTCAAACACAAAACGCAGGAACCAGAGGCACAATACAGTTGTGTCCATTCAATTTCCTACAGATTGTTTCTCTTAAATTCTTCCAAGTATAAAAATGAGGTTCTCGCCCTAACCGGTTTGGCTCAGTGGATAGAGCGTCAGCCTGTGGACTGAAAGTTCCCAGGTTTGATTACAGTCAAGGGCATGTACCTTAGTTGCAGGCACATCCCCAGTGGGGCGTGTGCAGGAGGCAGCTGATTGATGTTTCTCTCATCGATGTTTCTGACTCTCTATCCTTCTCCCTTCCTCTCTGTAAAAAAATCAATAAAATACATATTTTTTTTAAAAATGAGGTTCTCACTTTTGTTTTTAGACCATGGGGATTGACTTTCTCCTCCATTGGTTTGCCGAAAGCAAAAGTAATCATCTTCACCATCAGCTGCCTAAAAAGATGAGATTATTCTCTTTTTTTTTATTACATTAAAAGAATACTTAGGAAGGTGGGGCTGGGTGGGAAGAGATCAACCAAAGAACTTGTATGCATATATGCATAACCCATGGACACAGACAGTAAGGTGGGGAAGGCCTGGGGTGGGAGACATATGTAATACTTTCAACAATAAAGATTAAAAAAAAAAAAAGAAGAACACTTGTAACAACAGGATTACAGTATGTGTCAAGCATACTGGCTGCTGCAGGCTCCATAGACTCTGGTGGATTTTCTGAACATCACCTTCTCATCTCCATTACATAGTCTATGAAGAGTTGGCATTTGGCCCCTGAATGCAGCCAAGAAAGGGAAATCAAGGCCGATGTTTGGGTGGTGAGGTAACATCAAATCTATGGTCCTTGAACCCGTTGTCTCCACCCCAGGTTCAGTATCTGTGTCTGCAGTTTTATGGCGATTGCGGATCTGGAAGGCTGCCACTCCAGATGTCACCAGGCCACTTATTTATTCATCGAAGCAAGCCATGATCCAATTGTTCCTTCCATCATCACCAAAAAAGGAAAGTGTGATGAAATCAATCTTTGGCTACATTGCAGGAGTCAGAAATATATTTGGGATTGGCTGCTGCAGTTGCATTTTAGATTATAATCACAAGAGGAGAACAGGGAATTGAGAGTACTATGCAAAGAACAGAGGGGTTCAGGGAACAATCCACGCTGGCCTTCATAAGGCAGTTCCTCAGGATCTCTGTAGGTTGAGAACCCAGGGCTGGGTGGATACACCATACCAAGCACTTACAGAGGCAAACACCAATATTTTGTGGGAGCCTAAAGTATGAAGTCAAAGCTGTAGAACCAAGCATGTGGAGAGCAAATCAAGGTCAAGCTGCTAGTGTTACTACAGATGAGCAGATGCCATTCTTTTCCCTAATTCTTTGTGACCAGTTTTCTCTCTCCTGTCTGCAGTTTTAAGCTTGAATGGCAATATTTCTGACAACTAACAAAGAAGGGAGTGGGGTTGGGTCGGACTTGCTGTTTATTATGTGATTTTTTTCACTCAATCTCCCCATTTAATTGTGGTGACTCACTCCACTGTGGCTGTGTCTGGTGTTCCAGAGTCCAGAACACATCTGCACAGCGTGAGCACAGGGGACCCCCTGATGTTCCACGGGGGTAGGGATTGTGGCTGCCTGGCCACAAAGAGCTGGTGAAGGGACCTGGGAGATTGCTCACTTCTTACAAAACTTGCAATCAATCAGTTGCCCTATTTTCAAACCTATTTCTGCCTTCAGAGGCACCTGGCATCAATTCCTGAGACTTTCTGGGGATTGAGGCATGAACTGGTTTGCTTCTGGTTGATCCTCCTCCCATACCCCCTTTCCTTCCTCTCCTTGGGTTTCCATTTCCAAAATATTGTGGCTGTCGTCTCCTGTTCTCTTTTCTTTGTTTTTGTAGATTCAAGTTTTATTTTTTTCTTTTAATGTTTTAGAGAGTTTGGGAAGGGAAAGGCACATTTGTGTGTAGTCTTTCATGCTTACTGGAAGTCCACTTATTCTTTCTTCCAGTTTTTATTATGTTTCTCAGATGTGTCTCGAACCCATTAGGTACTCAATACAAAAGCATAGCAGTTATTTAATGATAAAGTGTCTTCCCTGACCCAAGAGGAGAAAAAAAGGTGGGAATTAAAGTTACCCTGCATAAAGATTCCCATAAGCAGCAGATAATGCAACATTTATCCAAATTCCTTGTCCTTCACTCATTCAAAATCGAGTGAGCAGCACCCTCAAGCTTCATGCTGGCACAAGATAAAACGATTAGGAATCTTAGAGCCTCTCCTGGTGGATTTGCATTTCTTCACAGGACTCATGGCAGTTCAATCACTGGCGTGCATTGACCTTTTGCCATAGGCTGGAGTGACAGAGAGGAGTGACTGTCTTTTTATAGTGAGAAAACAGCTGTGCCATCATTGCCTTTGCCAGGAGAGAGAGGAAAAATTGTCAGGGGGTTCTGTTTGTCATTGGCAGGAACAGTGAGATGCCGGGGCAACACAAACTATTCCAGAGGTACAGAC